ATTTAATCAGTGTCGCATTGTTACAATTTTAAAATTTTTAGCCGCTTTTGCCTTGTGACAAGATGTAAAAAAATCCATTTGTTGTTTAATTTCGCATTTTTTTGTGTTTTTTTTAGGATACCAAGAGACGGGACGAACAATTAATTGCGACTTTATGTCTAATTCTTATTTATTTTATATTCTCACTTTTTCTTTGTTCCGCTAAATGTACCGGTGAGTGTATTTGCAACAGGCTGCTGACTACTAAGTGCCAGTTTCCACCATGCGACTCTGTTTTACTTCAAAGTCACGGCCGCGCCAATGGGTATGGTATAACGACTTATTTGAATAAATAAGAGTCACGCTAGACCAGCGACCCGCTACTAGCCGGTAAGTAGAAAATGCGTGTAAGCAGAAGCTTATAGGACACCATATTAACCAACTACGAATTTGAATACGAGACCTGTTATTAAAAACTTTGCATTTATTTTATTATTTATTAAATAATTTACAATAATGGTAAACTTTATTATCCAACCTTATATACGTCTCACAGCTGGGCACGGGTTTCCTCTATGGCGAGGATTTAGGCCATAGTCCGCCGCTATGGCTCAATGCGGGTTGGGAATTTCACTCGTTTTCCGAGGGCTGTGCATCTTCTTCGACGTGCAGGTTTCATCACGATAAAGAGTCTGATAGGGAGTAAGTCATCTTGAGGTAAACCGGTCTTTATCAATTGCTGATCTAATTTGGCGGATTGGAGGTTGTAATGCCCCCGAACTCACAATGGTTGAAACGAGGGCTCCCGTTTATTAAAGAAAAACTTAAATATAACTTTAAAACATGGGGGCGCAATATAAATCTGAGTAGGTTTTCCATCACCGCAATTCAGTTTCCGGAGCTTGTTACTTGGTGGTTGTTGGTACTTGGTACTTGGTGTAACGGGCTGGTGTCCGCAACTCGACGTCAAGGCGCCTATTTTGCGTGTGGTGGGTGCAGGGTCCTACTCGTGCCACCCAAGCTCGTCCAGGAATCTCAGCAGCCTCCTTGGTTTGCTGAAGACTTCGGGGAGCGCCCTTGGCACTCCAAGGTACTTTGCCCTGTAGTTGGCCGCGCCGGAGCACTGTAGTAGGATATGCGCAGCCGTTTCCTCCCCCTCCATACACGCTCTGCATAGAGAGCTGTCTGTGATACCTAAATTGAAAAGGTGTTTATTGTATGGACCATGACTATGGAACATGATGGCAGCAGTTAGAGTGCGAAGCTCTTGCCTGTTGAGTTTAATTAATATTCGTGACAGACTGGCATCGAGCGTTGGGACTGCTTCCCTAGCCTGTCTACAAACCGTAAGGGTGGTCCATGTATTATTATGTGAAGTTTTTGTACCTTTGTGTATAGTTGTTCTGGACCATTGGTAGGGGAGGGACACTATGGGTTCAGGTCCTACAGCGTCAGTCTCCGACCCTTTCTGGCTAGTTCATCTGCTGCGTCATTGCCACGTGAGCCGCTGTAGAGTTAAGTGGTTTTGTATACATACCTCCGTGAGTGCTTCATGGCATTCATAAATGAGCCCTGAGTTTATGTCATAGCTGTTCAGTGCTTGAAGTACTGACATACTGTCAGAGAGTATTCGAATGGAGTGGTTCTTTACTCTTCTCGCTATGATTGCTTCTGCCGCCAGCTTGATGCCCATGCATTCAGCCTGGAATACTGTGTTGTGGTCACCAATCGGTGTTGATATCCTGATATTGAGGTCTTCAGAGAATACCCCAGTACCTGTTCCTGAATTTGTTTTAGATCCATCAGTGAAGACGCGGACCTCTCTGGGGTTCAGTCCTTCATTTGGATCTTCAAACAATTGTATCTTGTATTTTTTGTCAAAGATTTATTGTTTTGGGATCCTATCCACAGCCGCCTCCAGTAGCGGTTCCTCATTGACTGTCTTATAAAGGATTTCTGTATGTGGGGTCCTCATGTGCTTCCAAAGGCCGGTTCTGTTTAGACGCACTGTTGTTGACGCCGCTTCCTGTCTGATGAACATTGGGAGGGGTCGCAGGTCCAGCATCGCTTCGAGGGCCGCAGCCGGAGTTGTCCTCATGCAGCCGGTCGTTGCCATGCAAGCCAGTCTTTGGAATTTGTCCAGCTTGTCGGTTGCGGTCGTCAGTTTGGTTCGTGGCCACCATACTATCGCGCCGTAACTGATAATGGGTCTTATCACTGCTGTGTAGAGCCATAGTGTTATTTTGGGTGAGAGTCCCCATTGTTTACCTACCATTACCATACCAGCGCGCTGTGTTTCTTGTGATTCAAAATAAATACACGTAACGAGGACATGTTGTTGGCTATCTCTCTATATTTTGTTCAAAAACCGCAAATTACGACCAGCCTATAGGTAAACTGTTTTGTTAGACCAAATTTCTTATCTGTGAAAATGTTATTATTGCTTCTTAATTAACATCGAATTCGATGTTATTGTTACATTCAAATTTCGAACATCCCTGAAAAACAAAACAATTTAATTTGGACCTCAATTCTAATATCAGTCGAGATCAAGTTTTATTCGGAATGAATTGTCAATAGCAAACAATTTTGACAATTTCACACGTTACTTGATATCAAACGATATGATAGTTGGGGCCGATTCTAGTTTGTCTATGAATTAAAAATAAAAACTGCGGCTGTGTGACATGCGTGAGAAAAGTTTTTATTTGCCGCCATTTCGCCAGCCGTAACATGCCGTTCCTGAACACATTACAGAGAGCTTAAAATATGTGTGTAGATAAAGCAGTGTATGTAACTGTACATAATTAGGCATTAAAACACTCGTGAAATATTTTTATGAAACTCGCCTGTCGGCTCATAAACCCTCACTCGTCTTTTAAAGCCTTTCATTATGTAACAGTCACATAAACTACTATTTCAAAAATTTCATTATAGTTTTGTACACAGTACTATAGTTCTGTACACAGAACTACAATGGGTTCAAAAAAAGTCGCGCTCGATCAAAAAACTGACGCTACTCAAACGCTCTACTGCCTCCTGATTAGTTAAATAGGCAAAAATCTTGCGACCAGGCCATAGACTTTCATTTAAAAAAATATTGGTTATACGGTTAAAATGGCTGTACTTGGCCACTTCTATTCTATCTCTTTGGTTTTTTGTTTTGTAGCATTTGTCTGACTTTCGTCTAAATAATACAAAGGGGCTGTAAGGTGGAACCTTTGCCTACCCAAATAAATGTATGAAAATATGTTAAAACAATTGCGTTTGTTGTCATGGATTGTTAACGAAATATACATTAAATATTGTGTATGTCTTTCATTATTTTATTTACTCTTAGAAAAAATATTGTCCGCAATCATTGCATAATTCCTAATTAAGACCTATCTTGAAATCTTGTCCCTATTACTTAGGCCACTCGGCAAAGCCTTGTGGCCTAAACACGGTACTCGACTTTAAGAACCATAATTATGCAACGATTCCATAAAATCAACACACAAAATCTTATTGTATTAATTCTTTTATTCTGGAAAATAAAACAAAATTGAGTTTAATTGATGTTTATTGCTCACGTACAAATTGAAGTGAAACTATCCACTACTTTCTGATTATCAGCCGTGATCATGGGACATGAAAAGACCCCAAAATGTTACAGGTTTGTTTGAAAAAAAGAACAAATATATTATGCTGTTTAGATCCGTATTAATCGTTTTTTACGGTTTCTGAGGTGCCTAAGGTTTTTTGTTCCAATTTTAAATATAAATCGCTTTTAGACCATATTCATCTTATATTGGTACATAGTGATTCAGAAACGAAAACAATATCCTAGACACAATTATTCTCAAGTTGCACATCAAAATTTCCATTTATAACATAAAACGCACAGTAAAAAACATGGACAAAGAAATAGGAGACTCGAACATTATGTTCAAAACCCGCTGTTCACGATCATCTGTTTAAGTATGAAAAGCACCAGAAAGCGCCAGAAAGCGTTTGTACAAATCTTTATACTCCTGTAATAGCCAGGGTTTCAATGGCGGCACCATTACATCCGGATTTATAGCTTCATTTTGGTCGAAAAACTGTTCAGCAAATTTTTGATAATTCTTTTGCTCCGACTATTGTATTATGTTTTGTATTATAACTTGGTAAAGAATCAAAAATAAGATTTTAGTAAATGGAATTTGGAACAGCTCCGACTGTTGTGGCGGTCGAGCTGGGAGTGACCGTGGTACGAAAACAAAATGAGAAAGTGAAGGAAGATGGAACAATTCAAATTTAAAATTTAAATACATGTAAAATAAAAAATGATAGGATACAAGCGGAGAGAGGCGATACAAAGAGGTGAGATGACGGTGTAAGGAGATCACACTGTCACAAGTAAACCAAAAATATCGACGAAATCAAAACATTTCGTGTACAAATCTAACTACACAATCGTAATTGTTTATCTAATAAAAAATTTATGAAGGCGTCACACACGCCGTAAATAACATTTTATTAATTCAAATATAGTTCAAAAATGACCAACAACGCTAGTTTATCTTACCTGAATATATTATTTATTACATAATAGGTAAACGATGCTATAATTATGAGTCACAACAGAAAGTTCCATCATGTTAGGTACGTGCAATTTTCTTATATAAACTAGCAAAATTTTACCGAAATGAAATGATAATACTATCATGCACTTTAGATGTCTTTCCCAACGTTTGTTATGTCAACAATACTATCTAGTACAATTTGCATACTAAATACGGCAACAAAACGTTAATCCAGGAAAACTACTAGATCTTGTTTACAAAACGTCGAGAACGATTGCTTAGTAAATGAAAAATAATCTCTCATTCAACATGTAAGCCATGTTGATAATAAAATAATTGAGAATACCGTCTTGGCGCCAGTTATATCAACTTATATATTAAACAATCAAATTATTTACACCGCAGTTCAATATACGCTGCTAACGATAGCTAATCAAGAAAAATAAAGAAACTATAATAACGAAATGTAAACGAGAAAAGAAATAAGAATGGCTGTGACAAAGATAACAGAAGACATTGTAGTCAGACAAAGTCACGACAAAACTGACTCGGAAAACGGCACGGTTGAACCCATCAATAACAATGAAATTGATTTTGATGATTTGCTTTCGTCAGCTGGAGAATTTGGAAAGTACCAGCTTTTACTATTCTTTGCAACAGCTCCTTTCTACGTATTCGGAGTATTTGCATATTTCACGCAATTATTTTTGACTGAATCATCTTCAGATCACTGGTGCTGGATACCAGAGCTAGAAAATCTTACTGATATTGAAAGAAAAAAACTAGCAATACCTTTAGATTACAATTCAAGGTATGGATATTCACTTTGCAGCTCATATGATGTTAACTGGACTGAAGTTTTAGCAACGGGAAGAAAGCCAGATCGTACATGGAGTACCGTACCATGTCAAAATGGATGGGAGTTCAACAAAACTGAAATTCCATATCCAACTATTTCAAGTGAATTGGGATGGGTATGTGATAAAAACAGCAACCAGGCCACTGCGCAATCTATATTTTTCTTAGGCTCAATTGTCGGTGGTTTCGGTATGGGATGGGTAGCTGATCGATACGGAAGACTCCCAGCAAGCATAGTCAGTAACATTATTGGATGTATTGGTGGTGTTATCAGCATATTTGCGAGAAATCTCATAGAATTCACCATCTGCAGATTTTTTACAGGCTTTGCATACGACAATTGTATGATGATGGTATACCTCCTCGTTCTGGAGTATGTCGCACCGAAGTACAGGACATTCATGGCAAATGCATCAATGGCAGTGTTCTATTCTCCAGCAGTAACTGTTCTACCGTGGATAGCTCTCGCTTCCGGACATTGGAAGATCTTATCACTAGTCACAAGTCTACCGTTAGGTCTCGCTATATTTTCTCCATTCTTTATGCCTGAAAGCCCAAGGTGGCTACTTTCTAAAGGACGTGTCGATGAAGCAATAAAAAAGGTATTAACTATTGGACGAATAAATAAAAAAGAGATTTCACCAAAACTTATTGAGCAGTTCAAACTATCCATGTCAAAGGTAAAACAAGAAAAGAAGCAAAGTATTTTGGAGTTGATAAAAAATCCGTTATTACGAAGAATTTTTATAGGTACTTGTGTTTCATATATATGCTGTGCTTTGGTATTCGATGCTTTGGTTAGAAGTATTGGAGCACTAGAATTCGACTTCTTTATATCGTTTTCTGTGATAAATGTGACCGAACTCCCTTCAATGCTATTGGTCGCCTTTATTATGGACTGGATGGGAAGACGGTGGTTGACGACAATTTCAATGGCCTTAAGTTGTATATTTACGATTCTGATAGTATTTATGACGAATGGGTTATTATCAGTAGGATGTGCTGTCATAGCAAGATTTATGGTGAATCTGGCATATGGAACTGCAACCCAATGGTGTGCAGAAGTTTTACCTACATCGGTCAGAGGGTCAGGTGTTGCGTTTGTGCATATTTGCGGTTTTATTGGGACATTGTTGTCATCTCTGATCGTTTACTTAGATACTTACGTGTATTGGCTACCTCTAGTCATAGTAGGTGCTATTGCTGGATTAGGTGCAGTACTTGCGTTAATGTTGCCAGAAACAGCGAAGAAAGATTTGCCACAGACGTTCGATGAAGCTGAGCAGTTGTACAAGTCTCAAAAGTTTTGGGAGATGCCATGTTTATCGAAAAAAGTGACAGAAGATCCCAATGGATACGACAATAATTGTTTTGAAATGTGAAAACTGTGATACAATTTTTGTAAAAACCAGCTTTGATAAAGTCAACATGAACAAATTACACCTTTGTAAGCATGTATTTAAAAAGATAGTTTTTAATTGTAAGTGAAAATATAACTATTTTGTTTTAATTTTTTACATTTTATTTTTAATCATTCCAAGAATTCAATGGAGGTCTTATCCATTTAATGTATATTACTTAAAGTTTTGATAATAAACACTGCCTTTTTCAGTCTCTGATCAAACAACAAAACAGTTCATTTACATAGACATAATGTCAATATTAAGTCCAAGATGAAATTAATTTTACTACTGAGTGAAATACTCTGCTTTTCATTTCCCTTATAGTAAAAATAAATAGATGATGGTGCAGAATCGTCCCTCAAATTGTGTTTTATTTTTCTAAAACAAACAGAACTTATTTAAAGTCCTAAAACGAGATGGGTTGTTGACATGGTCATAGTTGCAGGCCGTAAATGGGGTCATGGTGGAAATCAAAATCGTGGTAGATGGCACAAACTACGAAAGGTCTATACCCACCCAATGGGCCTATACCCACCCAAAAAAAAATCTGGCTGTGGATGATGATGAAAGTTCGATGATTTTTATCAAAGTTCAATAACCTTACCTTTTTACCTGCTTGCAACTTTCACCTCTATATTTAGACCCGTATCTAAACTTATTTGAAAAGCACCATTAATGCTTCGGAAACCTAATCAAATTACCGACGAATGAAAAGAACAATGCGAAGATTTTGCTGAACAATGCGAAGCTAACACAAGTAAAATTATAGGAACAAAAATACAAAAACCAAGTTTCTTAAAATATACATCTCATACATATACATATCTAGAGGAAATTTTACTTCCATAAAATAAATATTTATCATTCGAGGAATTGCGTAGAAAGAGGATGTAAATACTTTTACAAATGGAGGCGTTTTTATAAGTAACTTTAGTGCTGCTCCCGAAGCTCCCGTTACGTTGGTTTATTGTTATTTTTAACAAATTTACCGCTAGGTTTAGCCAGTTTACCTATAAACAAAACACAATTACTGCTCTAAGGCAGCACTGACTAAAAAAAAGTAAAACGACGAAAAAAAAGATAGAGACTGATTAAAATAACATCGTACCTACTCGTAGCAAATTCGACTCTTGATATATAATAAATGTAATTTATATAACATAAATATATATAACGTTCCCAAATAGGTCCATCATTTCTATACCAGGATTATGAAAATACGTTGGATTCACATAGTCCTATAAAATCAACGCCAAGATTAGACTTGACAGAGGTGGTACGGGGTTTTAACTTAATCACCTCCAGTCACCGTAAAATCACCCCCTTCCAGCAAAGAAGATTATCTCGAAGACTACTTACTTAGATTTAGTTAATGTAATGTATTTCACATGCAGTGTTGCGCAAAATTAGATGTAACATTAACAATAGACCTGCAAACCAATTAATTAAATACAAATAAATTTAGAATATATGTATGTATGTTATTATTATTAATACAAAGACTGAACACTCAGAAAAAACACTCAGAAAAAATTCCTTCGATTAAACTCAGAAAAAACTAACTGGGTGATAAATCTGTTAAAGATTTCTCATAGATGGCGCTACGACTAAAAAGTCGTTGAAAGACCAAGTACAAAGACACGACCCAAGCACATAGAAAAATTCTTGAGGTCCGTTGATTCGTTCCGTGGCTTAGTTGGTATAGCGTCTGGCACGGTATGCAAGAAGACGTCGGTTCGAATCCGACCGGATCGAAGGAATTTTTTCTGAGTGTTTTTTCTGAGTGTTCAGT